TAATAAATGAGTACTGGGAAGAACCTAGCAAATTTATTGAACTGTATCATTAAAATAAAGTAAATGCTTTCTAAAATACAAGAATAAAAGAAAAAGTTTTAATTACATGAGAAAATGTTTATATAAATGTAATACCAAATTGTAAGTGCTATATGACCTCATAGACATGAAAAAAAAATTGCTAAAACAAAAACAACCAGAGGAAATATGCCAGGTTTTTATCTGAATTTGTGTCTGTTTGATATATTATCAGTAATTTTTATGTCCCTTAAATTTTCTGAATCTTCCAATTTTGTATAAAGAGATATACTTTGATAGTCAGATTTTTTTTAAGATTGAAGCAGTTTTATTTAGCATACAGGGTGTTGTAAAAATTAAATAAAATTATTTTTATGTGAGAATTTGTCACTGTGCCGGGCATGAGATGTTATCAATAAATATTGTTTCCCTACCTGCCAAATAAAAATGCAAAGAAATGCTTCAGTTAGTACTTAAGAACTCAGGCTCTGTCAACATTTCCATTTATTACATATGAAGTTTTAAATTAATTAAAATTTCAATTTCAATGATTTTACCTGTAAAATAATAGTAATTTCTAACATATTGGGTTATTATGGAAGTTAAGAGTTTATTCATAGGTATCACTCATCTTACTGCATAACAAAAACAAGCTTTCAATAAATATTAACCCCTAGTATTTGTATGGCAAAGTGAAAAGGCAGTTGTCAGATCTATAGACTTCTGGACCCATGTAAAGAATGCAAATTGGTACACAAAATAGGCTCAGAATTGCTTGCCAAATGGACTGTGTTGACAGATGGACAAGAATCCCTGGTCAAAGGGAAGAAAAGAAGTATCAGATGTTTGAAATAAACTCATGAAATGATGAATCCTTGGGGCACTGTCCATCCATTGAGGAAATCTCAGGAAAGAATTCCTTTAGGGGAGCTGGCTTTGGCCCAGCAATAGATTCACAGGGGAAAAATAGAGAATCACAGCTTTTATTTTCATAACTGCTAGAGGAAAAAAAAAAACCACCTTTTCCAACTTCAAATACACACACACACACACACACACACACATTTCCCAAATGCACTTAAAGTGAAAGCACAGGGGACAGAACTCAGATCCAGGGGAAATGAAGGGCTGTGAAAGGCTTATCTGCAGACATTGTTACTATTCCCATTCAGAGACTGAGTCAACTTCAGCAAAGGACAGATGCCCTTATTTCATGAATGTGGGTCAGAGGAAAATATGTTATATTTTGAGCATGGAAATGTGAGTTTTAGAAAATAGTTTTCAAGCTTTCTAGTTGAAAAAGAAACCATTACTTTTAAACTTCGTTAATTGAAAGGCACACGAAAACATTTGAAATTAATATTACCTCCATATAATCCTTTCTACTATCACCAGTTTTTGTGATCTTTCTTCTAATTTAAATATTCTCCTTTACATAAAATTTACTGAAGAAAGGTAAAGCCCAAAACGCAAATATCACTTTCCTTTTTATTTCTTCTAGGACCAAGGATAAGATGTGATTGTTTTTTCCAATAGAAGAGGAGTGACAATAGAAATCCTCTTTTAAAAACTGATGGCTATCATTTCTCATGATGATGCCTTCGATTTTTTAACTTAACTTGTCATCCCTGCCCTAGGTTTATGAAATGGCATTGGTAACCCAAAAGTACAGTCTTAAGGATGCCTGTTTGGAATTTTCCCTTTCTCCTCAACGATGACGCAGAGGCTGGCTTCATTTACTCTAATCTAAATTGAAGTAGCAAGTGAAGGGGAACGACCTACATGGTAAGTCAACCCACACAAACAGGGAACTTCTTAGTACCTTGGTGCAGTCCAGGAATAACAAATATCACAAAAAATGCTTTGGGGAAAGTAGAAGATCCAGAAGAGTAAGTACCTTCAAAAACAATATTTTATAATGATTATCTTTTCAGATTATAAAAATAATGTATGTTGCTTATAGAAATTTTGAGAATTTTAAACATTTACAAAGAAGAAAACTATATGCTATCTTATGCACTGAACTTAAAAAAATTTGCTACTAATATTTTTAAGTTTTTTCCAGGTATTTCTGTTCTTTTGTTTTATTTACATTTTTAACAGAAATGTTTAAAAAGAAATACATAAATTCTTGCTACACAAAGAACTCTATAACATATAAAAAACCTTTGCTGCTCAAAGAATCAGTATTCCTTATTAGTACTTAGAAATTAGAATCCTTAGTCAGAATCTGTATTTTAACATAATTCTTAAAAAGTCTATGCATTACTAAAATGAACTTGCTTATTATTAATTTTTTCTACACAAGAATGTTCATTAAAAGAATATGGAATGTCTTATAAGCTTTAAGTATTTCTAAACTGCCTTCCAGAAAGACATTTTTTACAAGATTTTATTCTCTCCAATAGTTTTTCTGAGTGTAAGTTCATTGCACCTTCACCAGCCTGATATCATGATTACTCATCTTTGCTAACTTGAAAACAAAAATTCTATTTTTCACATTTAAATTGTCAGCCATCACCTAAAAGTGTGGAGGCTACAGATTTCTTACAATTTACTCTGAAATTTCATATTCATTTCTTTAAATGCCCCTTAATTTTACTGAAAACAATAATACTTCTAATTTTAAAACATTTTGCCATGCAGGATATAAATATATGTCCCAGATATCCCTTGCATTGAAAAGTATACAAGAACATAGCAGACACTCAGTAAACTTCTGTTGAATTTTTAAAAAGGTTTAAGCCAGTTATCAGCAATAAATTCAAATGAGGTTTAAAAGATTAGCCTAAAAGATGATATCTAGCACATAAATGTTCAATAAATGGTTTTTAAAAGGTGATAGATAATAGAAATGAACTAAAATTCATGATGGTCAGCAGTCAAAAACTTATAATGCTGCAACTTAAAATATTTGGTTAGAGATGTTATGATCGCATTTAAGGGTAAATTAAGTTCAGTTCTTGAACTACTTTGTATGGTATTCCTATGCCTGTTAACTATTCATAGTACAAAAGAAAAGATAGCCATGTAAAAATGAAAAAGAAAAATAAACCATACTTTTACCCACTTCCTTCCCCTCAGATGATATGATGTCTACAGCACCAAGAGTGATTTATTTTATTAATTTCTTGCATTTTCTCCCTGATGTGGGTAACATTTCAGACATATTTATGTTGGAGGTTCTCTACTTTAGAAGGGATGGGGAGGGAAGGAACAGTAAAATAGGAGTCAAAAAGCATAGACTCTTATTCTGACTCTGCCACTTACTGGTTTGGAATCTAAAGTGTTTTAATGACTCATTTGTGAAATAGAGGCAGTAATTCTTGCTATACTCCCCTGTAGAGTAATTAAGACAGTCCCCCAAAGAACAAGATTCCTCCTACAAAGCTGCAGAAATGAAATGGTTATTGCCCAGCAGCCCATCTGGTGACTGCTGTTACCTCCTTATCGCTGGAACAGCAAAGTGTGATGGGCAGCCTGAGTCAAGGCCCAAAAGTAGATTACTGTATTCCTTGCATTCAGAAGAATTCTCTAGGGCTGAATAAACCACAAAATCAAAGAATACCAGGGAGAAAACAGACTGCATCAAAAAGGTTCCCTAGATATTGAAACAGTATTTGATCCTGCTCGGATTTAATCACTTGACTACTGTCTCATCTTCATTTCCCAGGAAATCTCACCAAGTGTGGGGCTGGTGGGTGGGGCAGGGTGGTGTGGTAAAGAGTCATCCAGTTAGTTTTGCAGATTCAAACTAGGTTGCCTTTCTACAAATTATAGTGCAGCCATCAGGAAAAAATGATCCTGTCATTTAAGACTGTAATGGTATCCTGACCAGAAAAGACAGTTGATAAAAAAAAAATAAATAAAGCTCTAGTGTGTCTGATGGGCATAAAAATAGTCTGAAAGGGAAGTTATTAAGATTTGAGAGGACTGAGGGGCACACTCCTATTCACACACAAACACATACATAACACCTACACACATACATGCACACATGTACTTAGCCTGTGCCATGGCTAAAATTTTGGGGGCAAGGACATTCTTCCACATTTTGAAATAAATTTAATTTATAAGATTAAGAAAGGAGTATAATATCTAGCATAATAATCCCTGATCAATTTATATATAACAGCTTATATTTTGGTAGCATTTACATCTCAGTTTAGCTTTAGCTAGTCACCTGTCTGTAATATCTAGAGCACTGTTTTCCCAAGTTAGATACACCAGGCAACCCAATGAGAAATACAGAAAAGAAATATTTAAATTTGTTTTTATTTTAATTCTAAGGAAATTTTCATTCAAAATCTTTACCAATGTTTGCTCTATTAACAGACAGTAGTTTTTATACAGTTTAAAAGTGTACAGTCATATAAGAGACTATATGCAACAACTATATTGTCAGAGAGCCAGATCAGGTGTGGTGTGGTGACATACATGTAAGGAGGTGTGAACCTAGACCCTTAAGTCATGTACAGTGTTGTAAGCCAACGTTACTTCAATTAAAAAATATATTAAAAAATTTTTAAATACAATTAAAAAAATAAAATAGGGCCTCCCTGGTGGTACAGGCAGTTGAGTGCAGCACTGGGAAGCAGTCCATGGCCTCTGAAGAACGGGTTCAATCCTGGCCAGCCAGGGAGATACTCACATGGCATGGCAGACCTCTCCTGTCTAGCCTGCTGCTCCCTTCAGCAGTGTATTTCAGTCAGTCTGCCTGCACTGTTTCCCGCTCTGTCTCTGGTGAATTCTCTCACCCTTCCACACATCTGGGCTGTACCCTGGTTCTTGTATACATGAAGAAATAAATCTTTAAAAAAAAGTAATAAAATAATAAATAAATAAATAAATAAATAGAACAGAAACCACTGACCTATACCCCTCCCTTATGATCAAGAAAATGTGCACTGTCCTAGGGGATAATCAGGAGAAGGAGCTCCCTCTACATATGTAATTTCTGTGGTAATTTTAACAGGATGGAAGGAAATGACCTCAGAGGCCAGAAATACTTCCCACACTGTAAGCGAGTTCATCCTCTTGGGCTTCCCTTGCCGCTTGGAAATACAGATCTTCCTCTTTTCTGTGTTCTTTGTGACATACATCCTGACCCTCCTTGGAAACATGGCCATCGTGTGTGCAGTGCGCTGGGAACGCAGGTTCCACACCCCCATGTACATCCTGCTGGCCAACTTCTCCTTCCTAGAGATCTGCTATGTCAACTCTGATGTACCCAACATGCTGGCCAACTTCCTCTCTCAGACTAAAACCATCTCCTTCACACAGTGCCTCCTCCAATTGTACTTCTTCTTCTCACTGGGCACAACTGAATGCCTGTTTCTCTCCATCATGGCCTATGACCGGTTCCTGGCCATCTGCCGGCCCCTGCATTACCCTACTATCATGACTACTAAGTTCTGCAGCAACCTGGTCATCTTTTGCTGGGTGTTTGGTTTTCTCTGGTTTCTGATCCCAGTGATATTTGTTACCCAGCTCCCATTTTGTGGACCAAATGTGATTGATGACTTTTTGTGTGACCTGGGTCCTCTGCTGGGCCTGGCTTCAGCCTGTGTCCCTATCCCAGGGACTGTTCTCATCTGTGGCACCATGAGCTCCCTCCTCATCTTTGCCACCTTTTTCTACATCACTGGCTCCTACACCCTGGTACTGAGGGCAGTCATGCAGGTACCCTCAGCTGCTGGCAGGAAGAAGGCCTTCTCCACCTGCTCCTCACATCTGGCTGTCGTGTTTCTATTCTATGGTTCTGTCATGATGACATACGTGAGCCCAGGTTCTGGACAGGCAGAGGGCATGCAGAAGTTCACAACTTTGTTCTACTCAGTTTTGACCCCTTTTTTCAACCCTATGATCTACAGCCTCCGAAATAAAGAAATGAAAGATGCCTTGAAGAAAGTTCTAGGAGTTTCCTAACACTTATCTGTGATATTAATGAATTACTCCAAGATGAGTTCAGAAAGTGAGCTTCCTGCCAGTGTAACAGCTGAGAAAACAGAAAGTAAAGGTGAACATGTTGAAGGAGGCATTTCAAAATCTTACATGCCAGATCACCAATGAAGCTTCCCTGGAATGTCACTTTTATTGCTATTTAATATGTACTCATTATTTCTTGTATTATAGTTAGCTGTTCATAAATCTCCATGTGCCTCCTCATTGTGGCTTGATTGTGATTTTTTTAAGAGCAGGGACTATGTCTTATTAATTTCTGGAATTCCAGAAATGCCTAGCACAAAAAAAGTCAGTAATATTAATTCAAATAAAATGGATATATTTATTCATATTTCCTCACAATATTTATTTTTTTAAAGATTTCAATAACTATTTCTTCAAATTTTTTTAAAGATTTATTTACTTAGGCATACAAGAACTGGGGTACAGGCCAGAGGTGTGGCGGGTGAGAGGACTCACCAGAGACAGAATGGGGAACAGAACAGGCAGACTGACTGAAATATACTGCTGAGGGGATCAGCAGGCGAGTCAGGAGAGGTCAGCTGAGCCATGTGGGTTGTTCCCTGGCCGAGGATAGAACTCGTGCTGCAGTGGCTGCTGATAGCTTCATAGATTGCGTCTTAACCCCTTGAGCCACCAGGGAGGCCCTATATTTATTATTCTTGATGATCAGAACAGATCTAAAGAAAATATGCAAACTCTGTAACAATCTGTATTTTATATGTCCCTATGGATGAAATGAACTTTCCTCAAAAAATGTGAGTATACCCATAAAATGGAATATTATTCAACAACAAAAAATAATAAGTATCCATGGATGAGTTGTTCATGGATGAACATTATGATAAGTGAAATAAACGAGCCACAAAAGCCCACACATTGTATGATTCCAAATATATAAAATGCCCAAGATCAGGAACAAGACAAAGGTGACACTCCTAGTCAACATAGTACAGGGAATCCTAGCCCAAACAATTAGACAAGGGGAAAAAAAGACATCAAATTAAAGAAAGAAGGGGCCTCCTTGGTGGCACAAGGGGTTAAGCATTAATACTATGAAGCAATCTGTAGCCACTGCAGCACAAATTAGATCCCCAGCCAGGGAGGTGACCCACATGGTGCAGCAGACCTCTCCTGTTTCGCCCATTGCTACTCTCAGCAGTGTATTTCAGTCAATTTGCCTGTTCTGCTCCCCACTCTCTCTCTGGTGAACCCTCTTACCCCCCCCCTTACCCATACCTGTGGCCTATACTCCAGTTCTTATATGCATAAATAAATAAATCTTTAAAAATAAATTAAAGAAGAAAAATTATACTAATCACAGATGAATTGATCCTACATGTCTAAAAAAAATCCGTTAGAACTAAAAAAAAAAGTTCCTAAAGTTGCAGAATACAAGGGAGTAAATTCAAACAAGACAAAAGTTCAGAAAATAATGAGAAAAGTTAGAAATAATGAGACCTTGATGAAAGAAATTGAATAAGAGGCCAATAAATGGAAAGATCTTGTTTTTGAGAAATGAGAGAATGGTAACTTTTAAAATGCCCATACTATCAATATGGAAGAAAACTATTACAATAACAGTAAGATATTGTTAAAAGAAATGAAGGAAGACACAAAAGATGGAAAGATACTTCCTGCTCATGGATTAAGAGAATTAACATAGTCAAAATGTCACATACAAGTAAAGAAACCAAAGACGTACAAAAGTTTGAGTCATCTCACTCAGCAATGACTTGCTTGAAAGAATAAAGATAAGTTCAAAAATCATGCCAATTTTTAGAACATCCGCTAAAAACAGATTGAAAGAATGTTAAAGACAAAAAGGGACCCATCTTTTAGACTTGAGAATTTTGTCATTTTATCCATGCCCATGGTCTCTGGCCCTGACATCGTTCACCAGAAACTAGTGTTTTACTGACTGGAATCATACTAGGAACACAGAGCTGGCCCAGGAGGGAAAATCTTTTACCAGAAAAAAAGAAAAAGAAAAAGAAGAAAGAAAGAAAAAGGTAGTAACCATTTCCAAGTCATGAATAAGTATGAATGTAAGGGAACGAGAAGATAAACAAACACCTCTAGTTTCAGATAAGATGGTGTTGCTATAGTGATTGTACCATTATAGTAACCTCTCTATAGAACAAATAAACATCAGCTCTGAGAATAACATGAGATGATCATTCACCACTGGAGAACTTGGGTCCCAAAGGACAGTTAATGGGCTCCTGAGAGAAGGGAACATTTAGGATGTGACTGAAAATCTGCCCTGGGAACTCCCATTTTGGAATTCATAGGAGACTATATCCCTTAGGAAAAAACAAGACATAGATTTCAGAGCAGCCACAGATAATATATGTCCTGCCACAAATATGCCAATCTCTCTCCACAGCAATATACTAAATCTGAAATGTAAGTCCTCTCTGGGTGTCTGGTTGACAAGGATGCCATGTCCTCCATTTTGTTTGCCCCTTGCTGCAGTGAAAACAGAAGATTACAGGTCAGACCTACCAATTCTATAAGGAGATGGGATCAGAAGAGATACAAGCAAAGAACAGCTCTCAAGTGAGTCTTTTAGCTCCACCTTTTTTGGTGTGGTGGTAGAAATAATAGCAAGTCAAGTTACACTAATGAATATAAAGAGATTCACCTTTACAACTAAGGACTGGGGATCAGGGAAATGAGATGATAAAGAGAAACACCAATAGTGTATAAATAATGTCCTTTTAAACTAAGACTTCTCACCCCTCAAAACCAAGTCTTTGGGTACATAGATAATAGTGAAGCAACATCTTGAATACACTGATATAGCCACAATGAGCAGCAAGGCTGTTTTAGTCATGTTCAGCTTGCCATAGAGTGATGATCAGCAACTGCAGGAGGGAGTTCAAGATGACAGAGCACTCCTAAGTAGTGAGTTCATGCCCACGTGGTGTACAAAGTCAATGAAATCCTCATATGCATTAGTTACCAGTACTTCTTGATGTTTCTGACTTTCTTCATGATTCTTTAGACTCTGAGTTACTTTCCAATTCCTGCTACAGAAAATGTATGCACAGTTTTGCTTTGCTGTACATAATCAGTTCAAACTGAGGAGTAGCCTTACAGTGAAGTTTGAAATGAAAAATCCTTAAGTTCTCCCATCCCTTGTGTCACTAACTGCAATCATCAAGATCATTATTAAAGTTATGACATTATGTTATCTGAAAAGTAACACCTTTAATAAATAATATATCAATAAGTAATCTTAGCTAGAAACCCTTTATAAAGAATGGTTAGGTCTATATTCTTATGGTCTATATTCTTATTTATATTTTCCTAAATAAATATCATCCCTCAATCATGTCACTTTGGATCAGTTAGGTCCAAATGATGAGTGTAGCTAAATTTGCAGGGGACCCAGAAAATACCCTAAAACAAAATAAAGACTAAACTATTTCATTGTTTTTATTTTGCTTCTCACCATAGAAATCACACAAACACACACACAATGACCCAGACAAATTCTAATTAAGAGAGTACTTGTTCACAAAGATTCTTCCTCGCTTCCAAAAACAATCCCAATCTTCTACATATATAAGAAGTAGCAGGAGTGAAAAATAAAAATGGAATCCTTGTCCAGAGAGATCATTTATGGTCCCTACCACTACCCTTACTTTTCAGATATCTCTGCCTGGGAGTATATGACATATGTGATCTTCTGCATCTATCCACACACCAAAAAAATAGAGGCATTTCTAGAAATCCTGAAGCCTCAAGGGAAAAACTCAAAAATCCTTAACTATATACCAAGTTTAACCCACTCCAAGATTTCACAGAAGTATTTAATCCAACTGGTAAAGATGAAACCAAACTGAAAGACATTACATAGCTTTCTTGACTTACTGATAACAAATTTGGTGAACACTGAAGAAAGAATGGCATATTTGACAATGTTAGTCTGGGTTATCACACTACCTTAAGATGCCAATACTTATAGTCCCCATACTGCTCCACAAGAAAAAGAGAGAGCGAGAGAGCAAGAAAGTGAGAGAGAGAGAAAAGCATAATGATTTCTTTGTGGTATTTTCTGCCTTTCTCTCTTCTGATGGATAATATTTATTTGTGTCTATGATGAGTAGAGATGGTTTCCCTGTGGAGATGATAACATACAACATTTTATTTTATCATTTCCATTACCCTGGAGATAACGATAACTTATTTTACAAAGCTAAACAAAGTTAAGTATATATTGAAAAATACAGCTGTTAACTTTCCTTCCCAGATTTATGTTGGATTCTCAAGATTTGTTTATACATTTTGATGCTGGAGATTTCTCTTTTCCAAAACACTGAATTTAAATAACTTACTCTATAGATAGAAAAAACATGACTTTCATACCAGCTTGCATTTACAAGTAATGTCCATAAACTATTTCAACATGTTTACTGCATAAGATCCTGCCCTTTATATTTTTATTTTATTTTTTACATCATTGTTCATTTTTAAACAATATTTGCTTCCCCCCACCCCCTCAGAATGAGTCCCCATAGAGTTTCCTTCCCCAAGGCACCCATGCACCATCACCTCAGTCCTCTGTGCTCCCCTCCCTCCCGCTGATCCCTCTCCCTCCTCCTCCCCTGCAGTATGTCTCTGATTTATAATTGTCCGCTTTTGCTTTGTTGTGTTTTGTACTTTATTATTTTTTTACACTGATGTCTTATTTGGTTCCCCTATATTCCTGCTATAAGTGAAACCATCTGATATTTTTCTTTTTCCTTCTGGCTTATATCACTGAGCATAATTCCTTCTAGTTCCATCCATGTTGCTGCGAGTGGCATGATATGACCCGGCAATTCCACCACTAGGGATCTACCCAAAAAACAAAAAACATTGATTCAAAAGAACACCTGTACACATATGTTTATTGCAGCACTATTTACAATACGTAAAACCGGAAAACAACCCAAATGCCCAAAAATAGATGACTGGATCAAGAAGATGTGGCATGTATACACAATGGAATATTATTCAGCAATCAAAAAAGATCCTGCCCTTTAGGGCCTCCCTGGTAGCACTGGTGTTAAAGACAGTGCTATCAAGCTATTGCCAGCCACTGCAGCAGGAGTTCGATCCCAGGGAGCTGACCCACATGGCACAGCAGACCTCTCCTGCCTCACCTACTGCTCCCCTCAGCAGTGTGTTTCAGTCAGTCTGCCTGTTCTGCTCCCCACTCGGTCTCTGGTGAATCTTCTCACCCACTGCACCTCTGGCCTGTGCCCCAGTTCTTGTATGCATAAATGAATCTTTAAAAAAAATATTTTTATACTGCCCTTTACTGTGAAAATATTCTGAAAGAGGAGAAGTCCAAAACTCAAAATATGATCAGAGAAGGTATTAAGTCTGACAGTCTTCAGACAAATAATTTGATTATATGTAGAATAGTTTGATCATATGTAGCGGAATAATGATCTGATTAGGTGTTTAGGAATATTTAAAAGGAAATATCCCTGAAGATTACAGGAATAAGATCATATTTGTCATTGTCATTTTTCTCCTCTCCACCCTACAGGCAACCATGAATGTGTCCAGAGTCAACACTGTGACTGAATTCATACTCCTCAGTTTTCCCTGCTCCAGGGAGAGGCAGGGCTTTCTCTTCGTGCTCTTCTCTGTGTCTTACATCCTGACACTGATCAGCAATGGGGTCATTGTCTGTGCAGTGAAGCTGGATCACAGGCTCCACACCCCCATGTACTTTATACTGGCCAATTTCTCATTCCTGGAGATGTGTTATATCAGCACCACTGTTCCCAACATGTTGAGGAACTTCCTATCTGAGACCAAAACCATCTCTTTCACTGCCTGTTTCCTCCAGATGTACTTCTTCTTCTCCATGGGCATCACTGAGGCCTTCTTATTGCCCCTCATGGCTTTTGATCGGTACTTAGCCATCTGTAGGCCTCTCCATTACCCTAACATCATGAGTGGTCATCTCTGTAGGAACCTGGTGACCCTCTGCTGGGTAACTGGGTTCCTTTCTTATCCAATTCCTATCTATTTTATCACACAACTCCCCTTCTGTGGCCCCAATACCATTGACCACTTTCTTTGTGACTCTGGTCCTCTTCTGGCACTGTCCTGCATCCCTGCCCCTGGAATTGAGCTTTCCTGTTCAATATTGAGTTCCCTTATCATCTTCATCACCTTCTTCTTCATCATTTGGTCCTACACCCTGGTTCTCAGAGCAGTGTTGCGTATGCCATCAGCAGCTGGTAGACATAAAGCCTTTTCCACCTGTGGTTCCCACCTAGCTGTGGTTTTTCTGTTCTATGGAACCATCATGATGATGTACATCAGCCCAAGTTCTGGAAACCAAATTGGGAGCCATAAGATTATAACCTTAATGTACTCAGCAGTGACCCCACTTGTAAACCCTCTGATCTACAGTCTCCGGAACAAAGACATGAAGGCTGCCTTGAGAAAGATTGTACAATGTACAAAAATTAGTCAAACCAAATGAAATGAGATTAGAACCCATGAATGGACCAAGAGCAGACTATTATTTTTCCCCGTTTCTACTTACACTTAAAATGAGTCATCAACTATTTGCACCTAGAAATACAGGACCAAATACATCAATTTCTATTTAGTCAAGTAATGAATAAGAGTATACCCAGTTAAACCAGACCTTGCTTTCAAATAAGAGTTGAGAGATAGTAACTTAAATTAAATGACTTGAAAGTCTCTACTTCAGACTCTTCTCCTACCCTGACTCTTCTCCTACCACCAATAACTGTTTACCGTTTTACTCTGTCACATAGCTGGTTCCTGAACTCATGCTTTTCTTGACTTGCATTACTTGCATCAGTTCTCACACTTGGGTTTTCTGGTCTAACAACCTCTGCTCTACTCCTAGTAGAAGAGAGGAACATTCATACCTTTTTAACTCAAACAAAAGTAAACCAATACCAATCAAGTCATAATTGAGCCAAAAGATTTTTACTTAATTTATACCATGATGAATAATAACCCAAAACACTGATTTCTAAACTGTCTTTTTGATACTTATTTGGGAGCATTTCTTTTTAAAAAAAACAGATTCCCAGACCTTTTCCCTAAATCATAATCTTTATGAAATGGACCCCAGAAATTACAATTTTATGATTCTGATGTAATTGGTAGATAAAGGCTAGTACCAATCCACAGATAAATCTTAATAGAGACATCTTTTTAATAATAAACATGTGACATAGAGAAATAAAATTTAGGAAAAGTGAAAGAAATAAATAAATTTAGGGAAAGTGAAAGAAGTTAGAGTATCTGTTATAGGTGATTCAAACACTCATGACAGTAGTAGCAGAAAATGTTTTCCTCCCTGATTTTCAAATTAAGTCCTTCATTTATAAAGTAAGAAGTAGTAACATCCTTCTTATCTTTTCCTATAATGCAAGAAGATTAAGATACCTGATAACAGGTTTACATTTGGTCCAACTAGTTGGCTAAAAATCAATTGAACGATTGTTATCTGCAGTTGATGCAACTCATTTATTCATTCAATAAACACTACTTCTGTAGGTACATTAATGTAGAAGATAAAATCTCTGCCTATATTACATTCTAGTGAGAGACACATAATAAGCAGGCAAACATAAGAATCTATAGTCCCAGAAATCATGAGTAGTAGAAAAAATAAAGGAGCATATGAATATAGAAGACATTGTAGTTGAATAGGGAATAATAAAATGTTATGGGGAGAGAATGTGTTTTTATCTGGACACACGGAGAAGCCTGTTCATTGCTATGTACTAAAAGGAAGGTTTAAGAAAAATTTCACCCTAATAAAAATCCATATGTTCGTATGTTCTTAACTTGTACCACTTATTTACTTACATGTCTAGTTATATGTGCCTCTATTTTACTATATTTACTCTATTTTACTTTTTTCCAGTAGGATCTGATGTAGCCCCAAAAAGTACATAAAAGAAATACGAAAAAGATGAATTTTTTAGAAGTTAAAGGATTTGTGAATCTTAAGATTTTATGCTGGTACTAATATCAAGTCTCTGAATGGGCTATGAATTCCTTTAAAACAACGTGAGGAATAGGGAAAATCAACTAGTGAAGTGATTTTTACTATCTCTAAGAAGAAAATAAGTATTTTTATTATCTCTAAGAAGAAAACAAGTATTTTTATTACCTCTAAGAAGAAAACAAGTTCCTCAGGAGAAGTGAAATTTGACTCAGTGCTAAAGTAACATCTTTCATGAGGATTCATATTAGGGAAACTAAGAGACATAGTCAACAATGGTCCCGCCAAACCCTGATATGACTGGAATGAGGAGAAGGAGGCTGGGAGTATACATGGGCAATGGTTCATGAGTCTTGTAAATGGCAATATTCAAACAATTCTTCAGGTACATATTTCAACTATCATAGGATAATGTACATGTATTTACAATGAAGTTTGCATAAAAATTTAAATTATTAGACCTATTTTGTGAATAAACACAATAAAAGAATTAAAAAAAATGTGGACAAAACAGCAGATATATACATGGCAAGTGAGCAAATGAAAATAACATGACATGCATCACCATTAGTCATTAGGGAAATATAAAGGAAAACCATAATAAATATCATCTATAATCATATGTAGTTTAATGATGGGGATATAGTCTAAGGAATGCATCATTAGACAATTTCAGCCTTATGCAAATGTCAGTGTGTACTTCTACAAACTTATATGGGATCACACACCTAGCCTAACACCACCTAGACTGTATATAGGGATCACCAACGTATACATGGTTAGGCAGCCCATGACTACACATACCCAAATAACGAAAATTGAAAAGACTGTCTCTACAAGTGTTGGTGCTGATATAAAGGAACTAGTCTGTCATATACTTCTAATAAAACTGTAAAATAGTACAAAGTTCTTATAAACTAAAACATGCATCTATCATGTGCTACAATCATTTTACCCCTAAGAAATAGCATGACCAACTGGGAGTGTCAGAGCAGCCTGTAAGAACTTTGAAGTCTAGTTGCAAATGTCAGATCAGTTATCAACATCTGGGGTTGCTTTTATCCTCCTTAAGTTTTTTAGAATCTTTCATTGATAACATGGTAAGCACAGTTAGATGAGTGAGAGATAGACTTATTGATTGATTAATTAAGCAATCGATTGATTTGTTAAAACTTCATCTGTGAGAGATTTGAAGCAAGGAAAAGATATTATTTCAACTTGCGTAGAAAAAAAAAAAACAAAATTAATGCAGGCCCCAAGGGAAGTGAATAACAAGCACAAATATATCTCTTGACACTGTTCTCCTTTTAGAAGCAGTAAGTGGATCCTCAAGGATCAGGATCCTGGCAGGCTCTGCTTATAACCACTCCATCCTTCAACAAACACAATCAAGGGCCTTTATCACAATTACTTTACCTCTTTTCTGCTCTCTGATTATTGCCTAAACTATCTCTTCCTTCTGAGAAACAAAGAAGAAACTTCTGAGACGCTGCAATTTGGAATTCCCTTTGCTGGTCCAGTTAATGAGGTAATAAGGTTATGTAGTGTTTAGAATGTAATATATTCTTTCATCCATAGGTCTGTTTGACTCTAACTCAGCTATACACATACAAAATTAGAAGCACAGAGCTCTGTTAGGAAGCAGCTGATTTGATCCTGGGAGGTGATGTAAAGACAAAAAGAAGTCCATGATAAGTCATAATTTAGAAAGAGAAGCATTTTGCCGATAAATTGGATGTGATTGATAAAATAGAGGAAGAGATCTAACATTGAACATACTAAACCAGGAAAAGGAAGTTCTTGAACATTAACTAAACCAAAGAGCTGAAAATATTTTGAGATGATGTACAAGGTGAATAGCATCTCAAAATAAAAAGAACTTTTTAGGAATATCCTGCAAAACACCATGATTAAAATGCTCCAACCACAATTAGAAACAAACTACTTTGACCTATTACAAACCGGATGGATTTTCTCTGAGTTGGTACTAAACCTGTAGGGCCAAAATATATATATATATATATATATATATTTATTTATTTATTTTACTTTACAGAATAAAAGTTCATAAATGACTTCACTTGCTATAGCAAACCTCTATGGAGTCACTCCTTTCATTCATTAGCAATTAATGTTCTTTTGTGGTTCCAATATTTATTAACAGTCCTGGAGGTGGGGGAGGGGTGTCCTATACTTCCAAAATACCAACAATAATGTAAGTCAAAATTACCTCAATTTAAAAATAAAGAATTTTTTAAATATAAAAAATTATATTTTAAAATATATACTTTATATTTTTAATGTATATTTTTAAAAGCTATCTAACAGTATACATGCTCCTGAGTGAGCCACTTCAAAGAATTCTCTCTTAGAAAGGCATATAAGAAAAAATAAATGGTACAATAAGCAAATACCTTTCTTAAATCATAAGACTGTTCACCTGACTCAAAGGTTGGATAACGTACTTCCCAGAAGTAGCTGTATATTACACAATACATTCAAATGTTCTCCTTTTTTTTTTTAAGTAATTATTTTTTTTAGGATTTATTTATTTATACAAGCACTGGGTACAGTCAGAAGCGTGGGAGGGTGAGAGAATTCACCAGAGCCAGAGCGGGGAACAGAACAGGCAGACTGAAGAAATACACTGCTGAGGGGAGCAGCAGGCACGGCAGGAGAGGTCTGCGCACCATGTAGGACCCTCGCCGGTGGCTGGGGATCGAACTGGCGCTTCAGAGGCTGCGGGTAGCTTTGCAGCCCAGCACTCAACCACTGCACCACCAGGGGAGGCCCTCAAATGTTCTCCTAAACCAAGCTGTGGAACAGTTTATCACTGACAGAATACACTCTCTTGAGAGTGGAACAGTTTTGATGTAGCCACTTACTCTGCAGAAAGAAAAAAAAAAAAAACTTTAAACAGCAATGCCAAGAGGTTACCTGAAGAGGTTACCCAAAGAAACAAGAGGGAAAGAAGCTGATAAAAGGGAGTCTCTGTGTCATTCCCCAGCTTCTGGCAAATATAGACCTCAATGTCATTAAAGGATCTTGACAATCAGAGCTCTCATATACTGCCATGGAAGTGAAAATAGTGCAATATTTATGGCAAAATGTTCAGCTTCATCTGTTAAAGTTAAATATATACATAGCATGTGTTCCAGTCTAAAGAAGTAGATGCACATGTGAACCTTGAGAAATAAACTATATTATTGTGGTGGCATTACTCTGGGTGCCCCAAACTAGAAATAACCTAAATATCCATCTATTATAAAATGGTTAAATAAATGGTGGTTTGTTCAGAAAATGTCATAGCGTAGAGCACAAAATGGATAAAATATAGATATATATCGCAACATGACTTTCACAAATTTACTGTGGAACAAAAGAAGACATATAAAAGTATGCATGTAATATTATTTCATTTATATAAAGCACAATGCCTACTGTTGGAGAGGAAATAAAATTACCTCTACTTTTCTAGATCCTTACCACTAGAATAATTGACACAAGACAGATTAACATGAGGCAAGGAGTTAAGACACAACCTATGAAGCTATCCACAGCCACTGCAGCACGAGTTCAATCCCCAGCCAGGGAGTCACCCACATGGCTCAGCAGACCTCTCCTGTCTTGCCCGCTGCTCCCCTCAGCAGTGTATTTCAGTCAATCCACCTGTTCTGTTTCCCACTCATCCCTGGTGTATCCTCTCACCCCCCCACACCTCTGGCCTGTACCACAGTTCTTGTATGCATAAATAAATAAATCATTTTTATAAAAGAAAGATTAACATGAGAAAAATACCTAAATTTAATTTTATGTGCATGGAGGTACCATTATGAATATGAGACCACCTGAATGACTTATACATCATTTTTAGGCAAAGAAGTAGTAAGTCTGTGAAAGAAAGGACAAAGAATTTTTTTTACTTTTGACTTGACAACTAATTTAGTGAGCTGAGCCGAGCTTGTTTACACAACTTCCTGTCTCTGATGCTGAGAATATCTCTCTATCTCTGTCTGCAGGGAGGCTACCCTTCATATGACAATGTATTTACTATTTTTTACGGTAACAGAGGAGAGTCAGAGAAAAATTCAGCTTTTGGGAGGAAGGAAGGGTTAGGGAATCATTCATTCATTCTTTTACTATTTCTTTAACTTACAATAATCAATATGCCACTTCAACATGTCCTGCGAGAGTCCCACAATACTAAATTATTAAATTGTAATAAAAATAAGAAAATAATAACATTAGGAGACAGTTACAATTAGAGAGACACAGCGGAAGATGGTAGTGATTGGGATGGAGAGTAAGGAGAGATTCTAGGGTACAAATAATATTTATTTATTGACCCTGGAGTAATTACTATAAGTTTTATTTATAATGTTTTCTAAGATGCATATTTACATATTAATCATGTTTCCAAGAATGTTTCCTTCTTATAATAAAGAAACACCTGTCTCTCCACTGATATTCACTGACTTGTAGTGTTTTTCAGAGCAACAACTAACCCAGGACAGCACTTCAGGATTAGACAAAAATAGTAAGTATTGAAATGTAAGCCCTAATTCATCTCCATTACATTATGCTTTGTTACATATTTGAGTTCCCATTTGTCTTTACAAAGTAATTCTGCATCTGCTGGTCCTTTAACAGCCTATAGACACATGAAAATCTCCAAAAATTCCAGCACCATCACTGGATTCATCCTCCTGGGCTTCCCTTGCCCCAGGGAAGGGCAGATCCTCCTCTTTCTCCTCTTCCTTACCGTCTACCTCCTGACCCTCATGGGCAATGGCTCCATCATCTGTGCTGTGCACCGGGATCAGAGGCTCCACACACCCATGTACATGCTGCTCGCCAACTTCTCCTTCCTGGAGATCTGGTATGTCACCTCCACTGTCCCCAACATGCTGGCCAACTTCCTCTCTGACACCAAGGTCATCTCCTTCTCTGGCTGCTTTCTCCAATTTTACTTTTTCTTCTCCTTGGGCTCTACAGAATGCTTTTTCCTGGCTGTTATGGCATTTGATCGATACCTTGCCATCTGCCGGCCTCTGCACTATCCAACTATTATGACTACACATCTCTGCAACAATCTTGTGATTATCTGCTGGGTACTTGGTTTCATTTGGTTTTTGGTTCCCATCATCATCATCTCTCAAATGTCCTTCTGTGGATCCAGGATTATTGACCACTTCCTGTGTGATCCAGGACCTCTATTAGCACTCACCTGCATCAGAGCTCCCATAGTAGAGATGACTAGCTCTACCTTAAGTTCTCTGCTTTTGTTTGTTCCCTTTCTCTTCATTATGGGGTCCTATGCTCTGGTTTTAAGGGCTGTATTCAAAGTCCCTTCAGCAGCTGGACGAAGAAAGGCCTTCTCTACCTGTGGGTCTCATCTGGCTGTGGTTTCTCTTTTCTATGGCTCAGTGATGGTCATGTATGTGAGCCCAACATCTGAGCATGAAGCTGGAATGCAGAAGATAGTGACTTTGTTTTATTCTGTAGTAACTCCACTCATTAACCCTGTGATCTATAGTCTGAGAAACAAAGATATGAAAAATGCTATGAAGAAAATACTGGGAACTTAAAATTAAAAGGCTTAGTTTAAGAGAACTCGGAGAACAAAATCTGTTTCTGACTTCTTGGTTAAAAAAACCTGACATTACTCAGATAAGTGCTTATATTATTTTTCGACTTTATACACCATAATGTTTTTCTTATTTCCTAGAATTTATAGATAAGACTATAAGGGATCTCAACGGTACACTCCATCTCCCTGGTTTTACAAATGATACAACTATAGTTTAAAAAATGTGTTGAGTTTGTTGGGAAAATAAAATTAAAAATAAACCTGCTAACCCAGAAAACCTCTCCAAAATGATAGATTCACCTAATAATGAGAATGGCCACCTCTCTTTGCTATTGGGTTCATCCAAGTTCCTACACTCCCACAGAAACTGGAAGATAAGAGCACTATCTGCTTTGCTGATTGTATTTCAGAGACTTCCTAGGTCCTTGAAAAAACATTCCTGGGTCATAAAGCTGGCAAGTGGATTATTTATCTTTTTGAAAGATTTGCATTGCTTTCAAACAACTTGATTGCAAGTTTTTTTAAAGTAAATGCTGTAGAAAAGAAAAGAAAGACAGAAAAGTTCCCTCCCTTATTTTTGAGGGAACAACTAAAACTCATTTTTCATTTGTACATGTCCTTACAAATTACACAAAGTGATAGCCCTAGGGCAAAATCTAATGTCTATTACCCTTTCAAACAAGAGGGTCTTTATTCTTCTTGAACATATATATTTCTGTCCTTCAGAATAGCTGTCAGGGTACTTTGAATCACAGTCAAAAGATCTTGAAATATAGGTTTAATTATCTTGAGATGAATTAAAAAGTACCATCAATACAATAGAAAAGATGTCAAGTATATGAAAAGGGAAACAGCAAAGGCTTTTAAATATCTGAAAAACATTTTATTTTATTTTATTCAGAATTAGAGAAATATAAAGAAAATGATAGTAAATATATCTCTTTTCCCACAAAATCAACAAAGATCAAAGATGTTAGAAAAAGCAAATATCTCATTCTTTGCTGAAAGAGCATGTATTGGCACAACACCTGTGGAGGACATTTTGCCACTATCAAAGAGCATTCCCTTCAATTCATTATTTTCATGCATTAGTAGTATTTATTTTCATGCATTATGTTATAGAATTTTTATTTTCACATATAAGAAAAATGTCAAGTGTTTAAGTCTATTGACTTCTGTTTTTAATAGCAAAAGACTGGAGCAATCTAAAGTCTCATTAAGGACTGATCAAATAAATCACTGTATATTCTTAGAATTAAATACTATATAACTGTTAAAAAGAAGATGTATGTGTGTAATGATATAAAACTATCCTCAAAGTATATCATTAAATGAAAATCAAGATGAAAGAAATCTGTATATGGACTACCTTTCAGTGAAGAAAGATTTTATTTATATATATATTTATATTCAGAAACAGTATATGTCTGACTCTTGAAGAAAAAAGAAACTAGTAACAGCGATTGCTTTTGGGAAAGAAAATTGGGTGCTTTGGGACAAGGAGAGATGAATATTTTCACTGTATATAACATCATATTTTTAAAATATTCTATGAGCATATATTGCCCTTAAACACACATTAAATCATTTAATGATAACATTAAAAAATAAATTTAAAAACTATGAAATTAGAACAAGGGAAATATTTCTTCATAATTCTTTGATACTTTGGGAAACTAGGAAGAGGGAGAACTGCTAATGGAAAATTAAAAACGAAGAAACTGACAATTTCTTCATGTCATCTCACTCAAATTTTTTAGTTCTATTGGAACAAAATAGGATTGTCTTTCTCTTCTGAGAATTTATGAGAGTAAATAAGCTACAAGAAAAGTGACTTTTTATAATTGTTGTATCATCTTCATGGTCACTTACTCATTGAAATAAACACATTCAATATGTGGGGCACTGAGCTAGAAAGTGAATTGCAAACAGAAGTGAATAAGACACATTTCCTTCTCTTGTGGGGCCCATAGACCAATGGTAAATGAAGCAAGCTGTGCTAAAATAAGGAAATTAGAAGTATTACAAATAGTATAGATAAAGCCAGGAGTATTAGGCAATGAAAACATGGAACTGTCAGAAAACAGTATATTATTCAAGGATCATCCTCTATTTACAAATATACCCACCACAGAGAATAAAAGTATTCCTAGAATATGGGACTGTAGAGTACCATAATTTCAAATTAATCACACCTATCTCTTTCTCTTTTTTTTTTTTGCAGTTATTTAATTTTTTATTTATTTGTTTTTCTAAACTTTAGGTTTCTGGTGTACAGTATTATAATTTGACAACTGTATATATAATACAGTCTACTTCCCCCTCAACCACCATATCATACCCAAATATCAATAAACACTCCAAGTGTAAATGGACTGAACTTGTCAATTAAAGAAACAGAATGGCTGGTTGGACAACTTCAGTTGTCTCCAGGAGGCCCATCTGAGCTCTAAAGATAAACATAGGCTCAGAGTAAAAGGATGGAAAACAATTTTAAAAACGTGGGATCCAAAAAGGTAGGAACAACCATACTTACATCAGGTAAAATAAACTTCCAATTAAAAAAGGTAATGGGACAGGGATGGACACTAGCTAATTATTAAGGGATCCATACACCCGGAAGATATAACACTCATCAATATGTATGCACCAAAAGAACGAGCACCAAAATGTGTGAGACCTAAAATCAGACACTGGCCATGACACAATAGTAGTAGGGGACTTCAACACCCTACTTACATCAATGGATGAATCAACCAGAGAGAAAATCAACAATGAAATAATAGGCATTTATAGGGCACTACACCCTCAAAAGGCTGACTACACATTCTTCTCAAGTGCATATGGAACATTCGCCAGGAACGAACACGTTGGGTCACAAAACAAATGTCAATAAATTCATGAAGATTGAGATCATATCAAATATTTTCTCTAATCAAAACAGTATTAAATTATAAATCAATCACAAAAAAAGCAGGGAAAACCTCAAAAATATGGAGACTGAACAACACACTACTGAATGACTATTGGGTTGAGGAAATCAAAGAAGAAATTAAAAAATACCTAGGAGCGAATGAAAGTCATAACCTATCAGATGTGGGAAAGCAGTACTAAGAGGAAAGTACATAGCAATATAGGCCCACATCAAGAAACAAAAAAGAGCTCAAATAATTTAACATTATACCTTAAGGAACTTTAAAGAAAGAACAAATGAACTCAAAAGCCAATAGAAAGAACGATAAATAAAATCAAAAGCTGGTTCTTTGAGAAAAATCAAGATAGACAAACCTCTTATTTGATTCACTTTAAAAAATGGAAGAAAGTTCTGACAAATAGAATCATAAATGAAAGAGATGAAGAGGATCATAAGAATCTAATAGGTATGCCTTTATGCCCAAAAAAAGGGAAAACCTGGAAAAAATGGACAAAATCTTAAATGCATATTTACTTTTCAAGACTGAACCAGGAGCAATAGAATATCTGAACAGGCCAATTACAAGTAAAAAAATTGAAATAGTAATCAAATGTATTCCAAAAAAAGAAAAACCCAGTACCAAATGGTTTTACTAGTAAATTCTAACAAACCTACAAATGGAATCTAGTACCTATCCTTCCCAAACTCTGCTACAATTAAGGAAAAGTGAATGCACCCAAACATATTTTGACACCAGCATTAGTAGGATATCAAAAGCACACAATAGCATCACCAAAAAAAAACTACAGGCCAATATCCCTGATGCACATAGATGCTAAAATCCTGAACAAAATCTCAAATTCTTACACATTATTCCAGGGAATTTATTCTAGGGAGTGCAAGGATAGTTCAACATATGCTAAACAATCAATATAATTCACCATATAAAATAAAGACAAAAATCATATGATCATATCAAAGAAGGGTGCAAAGAAGCGATCTGACAAGATTCTGCATTCATATATGATAAAAATTCATAGTAAAATGGGGATAGAAGGAATATATCTCAGCATAATAAAGGTCATATACGCCAAACCCACAGCCAGCATCATACAGAAGGGTGAGAAACTGAAAGCTTTTCCTCTAAGATAGGTTCATGACAAGGATGTCCACTCTCACCAATCATCATTGCAGAGTGTTCTTCTCTGCTTTTCAGAGGGCAAAATTATTTACTCAACAAAAATACATGATGTCCCAAGTGTGGCTGAGTAATTTGTGATGGCCATGACACGGGATCATTTGCAAGAAGTGGTGGGGAAAGGTCAAACAACATTAGGGATCTTTGTCAGTTTTGAATCTTATGTTCAGAGAGAGGGAAACAAAAGCTCTCCAAACAAGTGAAATAAAATGATAAATCCTAGAGATGAAACTCCTTCCACAGTTGTGGCTAGAAGGACAAAAAAATGTGCTGTGCTAAAAGACCTCTATCAGGGCCTCCCTGGTGGTGCAAGGGGTTAAGCACAGCACTGTGAGGCTGTCCACAGCCTCTGCAGCATGAGTTCAAACCCCGGCCAGGGAGCTACCCACATGGTGCACCAGACCTCTCCTGTCTGGCCCACTGCTCCCCTCAGCAGTGTATTTCAGTCGATCTGCCTATTCTGTTTTCTACTCTGTCTCTAGTGAATCCTCTCACCACCCCCACTTCTGGCCTGTACCCCAGATCTTGTATGCATAAAGTAAATATAAAATCTTTAAAAATAAAAATAAATAAAAGACCTCCATCAGGGATGAGGAAAGCTTAGAGCTCAATCCCAGATGTAGCTGGTGGAGAGGAGCTATGGAATTCCCTGCTCCGGCCTCCTTTCATCCGGGAAATATGCCTAAGAGACAGCTGCTTAAGAGTCACAGGACCCAACCACAAGCAAGAATAAAAAAGATCTATAAGAAAGCAGGACTCTCCTGAAAGGAGATTGATTCCTGATGTAAGTGCACAGTCATCTAAACCTCTATGTCTCATCACACTTCCTATCACCACATTTCTGGAAAATCATAGGAGGCTCTGTTCCCAAAGCCCATAACTGACACAGGTAACTAGAGGCCTAGTGAGAAGTGACCTGCTGCACAGCCACCATACACCCTGTTACTTTAATTGACTTTCACTTTCAGAGGTGCTCTGAGTGGACTTGGATTCTGATTAGATCTCACGCCATCCCAAAACAGGATCTGGAAAAGGTTAATATTTTCTACTCTACTGGGAAGCAAAGGCAGGAAACATCAGAGTCTCCAGAGGAAGCAGGCCCCTGAGGAAGGAAGGAACTAGAACAGAATAATCTCCTGACACTATCCACCTTTCACAAGTGGTAAGTTGATCCTCATGGAGCAGGGAAGTAGAACTCACTCCCTGGTGGCTCCGTTTATAATCCCTCCATCCTCCAGCAGGCACGGAGAGATGTTCACCTATTTCTACTGCTTCACTCCTTGATGGTTACTGCAAAGAACACCACTTCTCTCCAGGAACATCCGACCTTGTCAAAGGAACTCCAGGTTTGGACTCGCATGAAAGGAGATGATGCAACATTTAGAGGAGAAAGTAAATATTAAAAAGATAAATAATTTACTAACATACTCTAAATAAGATTCCCTTTTACTTTGCTTCTGCTATACATGAAACAGCTAATAACTACTAAGCATTTCTGTGTGTCAGGTCCTAGACCCATATGTAATATCATTTAAAGTCCTCACCCCATCAGTGGAAGTGTTACTGTGCCCATTTTACACAGAAGGAACCAGGAATCAGTTTACATAATTGACTTGAAAAGGTTTCCACAGTAAGTGAAATATGAGTTTTAATTAAACCCTAGGTTCCTTATTCCAAATCCTTTGCTCTTCTACTATAGCTGAGCTGCCTACCACTTCTCATAAATGGGAAAATTGTTATTATTTTCCCGGAATTTGCAAAAATAGGGCAGGTATAAAAATCTCCTGTCCAGACCAAATGAAGAAGAGAAATGTACTGTTGTTAAATAAGGCCAATTATGCTTCTACACCATTGTGCCTCCCTGGATTAGACTTGAAAAGAAAGTAAAAGAGAAAAGCAATGTCTTTCTCTCATCCTATCTATAATAGCTCAGGCCCTAGCTATTCTACATTGGTCTGCCCTAAACTTTCCCATCAAAATTGGAGTGACAGTATAGTTTGTTTTTTTTTGGCTACCTTAATTAGTCCAGGCATCCCGTACACATAAGCACAATGTTGACGTTTCTGTACCCATATCACTTCCCCTCTGCCACTGATATTCTTTCAACAGCTCAAAGACCCATGAAAATCTCCAGCACGCCCAACAACTTCAGCATCATCACTGACTTCATCCTCCTGGGCTTCCCTTGCCCCAGGGAAGGGCAGATCCTCCTCTTTCTCCTCTTCCTTACCGTCTACCTCCTGACCCTCATGGGCAATGGCTCCATCATCTGTGCTGTGCACTGGGATCAGAGGCTCCACACACCCATGTACATGCTGCTCGCCAACTTCTCCTTCCTGGAGATCTGGTATGTCACCTCCACTGTCCCCAACATGCTGGCCAACTTCCTCTCTGACACCAAGGTCATCTCCTTCTCTGGCTGCTTTCTCCAATTTTACTTTTTCTTCTCCTTGGGCTCTACAGAATGCTTTTTCCTGGCTATTATGGCATTTGATCGATATCTTGCCATCTGCCGGCCTCTGCACTATCCAACCATTATGACTACACGTCTCTGCAACAATCTTGTGGTCAGCTGCTGGGCACTTGGTTTCATTTGGTTCTTGGTTCCCATCATCATCATCTCTCAAATGTCCTTCTGTGGATCCAGGATTATTGACCACTTCCTGTGTGATCCAGGCCCTCTTCTAGCACTTACTTGCAAAAAAGTTCCTGTGATAGAACTTGTCTTCTCCACTTTAAGTCCTCTGCCCCTTGTCATTCCCTTTCTCTTCATCATGGGGTCCTATGCTCTGGTTTTAAGAGCTGTATTCAAAGTCCCTTCAGCAGCTGGACGAAGAAAGGCCTTTTCTACCTGTGGGTCTCATCTGGCTGTGGTTTCTCTTTTCTATGGCTCAGTACTGGTCATGTATGGGAGCCCAACATCTGAGCATGAAGCTGGATCGCAGAAGATTGTGACTCTATTTTATTCTGTTGTGACCCCACTCCTTAACCCTGTGATATATAGTCTTAGGAACAAAGATATGAAAAAGGCCCTGCGGAAATTTTTAGGAATGTAGGAAGTGTTCATCAAAAAGGTTCTTGACAATTAGAAACCTATTTAATTTATTTTTGGTTAAAATAAAAACTAATTTCTTCAGATAATTATTCATTCTAGTATTGACTAAAACCTAAATGTGTTTTTCTGTTGTCTGCTTCTTATCTTGATCTTTGATCAATTGTCCTGTTTCTTAGTATATATACCTCACCTGTTTTTAATTAAATGTTGGAAATTCTCACTGTTCTTTGTGGCCTATATATTTACCATCAAGGAAAATGAGACCATTTGTGCTGTGAGGTTGGACCAATGTCTCCATACCCCAATGTATACCTTCCTAGGGAAATTTGCTTGAAATCTGGTACATTACCTCTGGTGTGCCCAATAAGCTAGTCAGTTTCCTCACAGAGACAAAAAACATTTCTTTGGTTGGCTGTTTCCTCCAATTCTATTTTTCCCTTCCTTTGGTACAACTGCAGCATATTTTCTCTGCATCATGGCTTATGTTCAATACCTTGCTCTCTGCTGCTGGGTGACAGTTGGCAGCAGACCCAACTGTTGTGACCTAAGTATTATACTATATCATACTATCTTTTTGTTGGGTTTTTGGGTTTCTCAGCTACTCTGTCTCCATTATGCAGTTCTCAATTGCCTTTCTGTGGGCCCCACACCATTGGTCACAGTGTATGTGAGATGGACCCACTGATGGCTAGCTCTTTTGCTCCAGCTCCTGTTACTAAAGCTGTCTTCTATATGTTGTGCTCCATCACTATCATTTTCACTCTTCTGTACATCCTTGGCTCCCATACCCTTTTAGTGATAGCTGTGTTAAAATTCCTTTCTGCAGCTGGCCAGAAGAAGGCCTTTCTACTGGTGGATCACATCTGACAGTGGTATGTTTATTCTTTGGGGCCCTTTTGGCAGTGTATGTGACCCCCACAGCTGAAAATTCAGCTGAAATTCAAAAAATCATGACTTTGCTATATTCCATGGTGACCCTTTTAAATTCCTTGATTTATAGCTTACAAAATGAGGAGTTGAAGGCTGCACTGAAGAAAGTCTTGAGGACAGAATGAGTATAAACTATTGATAACATACAAAACATCAAGCAAACACTATCCAGATATAAAAAATTAATTGCAAGATAATTTGCTTTATTGTTGCTAATTCTCCAATGTATACTTTAAAGAAGGAATTTCTAAGTCTACTTCTGGCAGAAGTAGACTTCAGTGATTCACATTACATTATATTCCAAATGTAATAACTATATTTTCAGCTGATAGAGAGTTGAAGGCATTATATCTGTGCTATTTCATGCTGGTTTAGGTTTGCTTATTGGGAGTTGGAGGAGAATGTAGAAGAAGAGCAATAATCCCTGGTGAATCATCAAAAGATTTGATGGTGTATTCAAAGCATTTCTTAAGACCAACTTTTAAAGACTGAATTTCTTAAAGATTTTAAATGTCTTAAAGGTTGAATAAAGAATCTAATTTAAATGCCTAATGAATAAATACCTAAAGTGTTTCTTAATAGCATTCTTATTCTTTTGGCTCTTCATCACCTTCCAAATTGGGGACAAACTGAAATTTTCATGCTTATATAAGTGATATGTTTTAATATCAGATAAAGTAATGGTAATTCTTTCACTGGACAAAGATTTACTGAAGATCTACTATGTTTGCCACACTAAGGATATACAAAACAGTCAAAACCACTATCTGCATGGACTTATCTTTCTGCTAGGGAGCAATTAAAAAAAAAGGTAAAAATATGGCATGTCACAGAGTAATAAGCAGTATGGGGCAAGAGGAGGGAAAACAAGAAGGAGATGAAAGTTTAAATTGGATGCTCAGGAAAGGGCACATTGAGAAGGCAATATTTAAGCAAGTGCTTATAAAAGTTGAAGGAGCCACACAGACAGCTGAGGGAAGAGCACTCCAGGGAGAGGGGAGCAAGTTCTCTTCAAGAGCCCAAGGCAGGATTGTGTTCCAGTTAACAATATGGAGACTGATTTAGCTGGAGTAGAGAGATTAGTGGAAGGGTATTAAAGAAGAAGGCAGAGTGGACAGAGGGCAACCTGTACAAGACCTTGTAAACCACAAGAACTTTTAATTCTGAAGGGTTTTCAGCAGAGGGGTAGTCCTTTTCACATTATAAAAATGTCATCTCTGTGTTTGTTTTGTTGACTATAGACTAGAGAGAGAGGGACTTTCAACTCTATTTCTACAAATAAAAAGAACAAACAAAACTAAACCAAAAGAAACCCTTCATCTAACTGCAGAACTAAGGCTACCAGAAAGAGAGAGGGCAGGGGGGAGCAAAAGAGAGACCGGGTGCAATGAAATGTGGTAAAGCATTACTGGGGCTTTGATGGTGGGCATGGAATAATAACATTTGCAGAGATGAGAACCTACAACCCCAAAACATATACAGTGTTGTACACGAATGTTACTCAATAAACATAATTAAAAATAAGTAAATAAAACTCTTGTTTCTAGTTGTCAAATAAAAATTTTCTTTCGGGCCTCCCCTGGTGGCACAGGCACTTGAGCGCCGCACTGTGAAGCTGTCCACAACCTCTGCAGCACCGGTTCGATTCTAACCGGCCGGCGAGGGTCCCACATGGCGTGGCAGACCTCTCCTATCTCGCCCACTGCTCCCCTCAGCAGTGTATTTTAGTCAGTCTGCCTGTTCTGCTCCCCACTCTGTCTCTGGTGAATCCTCTCACCCTCCCGTGCCTGTGCCTGTGTCCCATTTCTTGTATAATAAATAAATAAATCTTTAAAAATAATAAAAATTTTCTTTCTCTTTCTTCTTTTATATTTGAAAACCTTTTTTTTAACATTAGCAATTAATTTTTTTATTTAGTTTTTACATCATTGTTCATTTTTAAACAATATTTGTTCCCTCCCCTCAGGTGTCTGTAACCTATCCTTGAGGACATATATTTGGTGACAGGAAAAAGTTAGGGAGATTCTTGTCCAGAAGGAATGGAAAGTCCTCCTAGACCACAAGAAAAGAAATTCTGACATTGGAATGATATTTTCATGACCATCTTAAGAGATAATAAACAGCTAGGAAACCACTTCTGAGGCTCTTGAACCACACTTGATTATATTATGATAATATTTACATATCTATTATTTTACATATCTATTATTTCATGTAATTTTCATAGCAGCCCTAAAAGGGTACATAATGAAAGTTAGTGTGTATTTAATGTACAAAAAAATGAGTTCACAATGCTCTTATAGATAAAAAGTGAAAACATTTAGACTAGCATCTAGATTTCCTGTCTCCTGGTTTTCTATTACCCTACTTCCTCCTCTTTAGGTTTAACTTTGACCCCACCTGGTGTCCTTTTTTCATCCCAGGTTACCCCCGTTCATCTGATGCTTGAATAACCTTTCCACATTTCCTGGACTAACCCAGGTATCTTTCAAAAATCTCTCCAGATATAAAACTTATCTCGTTTTTCTACATACAACACCATACACAATATCACTTATAATCCAGCTTCAGGTACCAATTATTCTACAAATATCATTCTTAACCCTCTCTTCAAACCATGTACAATGAATTCCTCATCCTGAAACTGCTTGACACTGAGAAGTTGGGTTATTTTTTTAAATTTATATGTGTATATTTTACATCATTGTTCATTTTTGTACAATGTATGCTTGTCTGCTTTCTCCTCTCAGGTGTAGTCCCCATAAAATTCCCACCACCAATTCACCCATGAACCATCACTGTAGTCCCTTGTGCTCCTCTCTCCCATTTTGATTCCAAGGAGCTGTTTTAAACACACCCATTTTTAACTCAGACTCAAATGTTTTATCACCTACATAGGAGTTTTCAAACTTCGGCAGGCATCAAAACACATGGAAAGATCGTTAAAACATTGCTGGGCCCCACACCCAGAGTTTCTGACTCACTAGGTCAGGATGAGGACTGAGAACATGGATTTTCCTAAGTTTCGAGTGATGTTAATGATGATGGTACAAGGATTACTGCTCTGTCTTCACACAGCCTCACTCCTAAATCCACTGGTGTTCTCTACTGTGGTCGAATTCATGTCTCAGGTTGTCTGCCTCATCTTGTTTGTACTCTTCCCCTGATAATCAATGAAACAATTCATGCTTATCCCCTCTGTGTCATTTACAGCACTAAACTGTCATTTTTGCTAATATGCATCTGTCAGTCAAAAACACCACAAATCCACTTTTACAGAAGACTACATTTTTTCCAAATAAATGTGCTTAAGCTACCTTTAAAAAAATTTTTTTTTAAAGATTTATGTATTTATACCCAGTGTACAGGCCAGATACGCAGGAGGGTGAGAGGATTCACCAGACACAGAGCGGGGAACAGAACAGGCAGACTGACGAAATACACTGCTGAGGGGAGCAGCAGGCTAGACAAGAGAGGTCTGCTGCGCCATGTGGGACCCTCACCGGCCGGCCGGAATCGAACCGGCGCTGCAGAGGCTGCGGACAGCTTCACAGCACTGCGCTCAACCGCCTGCGCCACAAGGGGAGGCCCTACCTTTAAAATTTTTAAAGTAGATTCCTTATATTATGCTGAACATAAAATTAAGTAAACTTTGTATGGACAACGAATGTTCTTAATGTAAGTGCTTACAGGTTAGGCACCAGGAATGAAACAGGCCTATTTTCAAGAGAATGTCACACACACACAATGTACATCCACACATATTCTTTCTCTCTTTTCCCATTAACCTGTCCCACTAGCCCCTGCCCCAGGTGGTCCCTTAGAGGAATTATAGCTCCATAAATAGGAAAGTTTTCTTGGCCTCTCTTGGCTATTTACCCAAACCATTGTGTCTCACTAGTCAAACCACTGGGGGAAAGGTAAACAAATACAGCTAGAATTCCATGCATGCACAGAAGCCTACCTGCCTGCCAGAGAGCACACTGGGGAATACTGTAGCTCCTATTCAGGAGAGACCTGCAAGTTCATAATAATCACCGACGTGAAAAGTACATTTTATTTAGGTCAGAACTGAAAGAAGCAAGTCTTGGAGCTACAAATACCACTTTCCTTT